CCCACATCTACAAACCCATATGCCTTCCCAAAATTTGTCTTGGAACTTATTTTGTTAAAACTCCCCCCCGCCCCCCCGCCCCCCCCGAAGAAAAGCAATCAGGCGGAGACCGGAGCCGAATTTTCGGAGCCCACACTCATTCCCTCTCCCTCTCTCCCATTTCCTTGCTCGGCAAGTTGCGACTGTGAATGAAAATGAGTGACGGCGAGTGGACAAAAATATAAAAATGATTTTTAGTGGGTATCGTCGCTGTGCCATCACAGAACGTTGTAGCGCTATATGTCGAATCCAGAATTACTGTAGAATAGAGGTTTCAATGCCGCAACATCCATTTTGAGTGCCAATGCGCTCCAAAACCCTGCACCTCTACGCTTAAAGGCATAGTGCCGCTACGCTGTAGTTGAAATAGGAATTCATTTTCTTAAACACTTTTCATATTTTCTTGGTTATTACACCTTAGTGTAGCCGTGTCAATATTGAACCCGATCTTAACCTGTCCAAAAAATTTTGGGTTTGGGTTGACCCGAACCCGAAATGGGTCGGGTTCGGGTTCAACAATTTGACCCGTTTCAAAAACTGGGGTTGTCCCGTTAACTCGAAATTGACCCAAAAACCCATTTTTGACCTGGCAACCCGAGATTGACCCATTTTTGACCCGAAAAGCGGAGATTGACAAGTTTTTGGACCCGAAAACTAGTAGTTTTTTGTTGGCACCAGTCGGGTCGGGTCAGGTTGACCCGGACCCAAAGCGGGTCTCGGGTTCGGGTCCGGAAAACCGACCCGTTTGCAAAAACAGGTTGGGTTTGGGTTGACCCGAAAAGTGCTGGGTCAGTTTGGGTTGACCCAAAATTGACACCCCTACCTCAGCATTATAAAAGAAAGAAAAAAAAAGGAAAAAAGACTCATGCAAGCACAATTTTCTCCCATATTTTGTTCTTGTTTCATCCCGAAAACCTTTGCTTCTCTCTCCTTGTCGGTTCCTTTCCCAAAATCCATAGCCAACATTTCAGAAGATCCGCAACTAACGTCCTAGAAGACCCCTAAGGCCGATCGCACTTGATCTCCAGCCTGCAAACAAGCCTGAACGCGCTGGCCACCCTCAGCTCTTGTACGCGATCACACATTGCACCTTTATCCCAACTGTCCTAGCCCGTCCACAGTTAATTACTTGATTCGACCGCCCAGCCCGTCCACATTCATGCGACTCGACGGCCTAGTTCGTCCAGGCCCTATCCCGTGCGAAACCGACCGTTTGTCCTGCCCCGGTGCATCCGTGGCCCCTGCACCCGCACGAAATTGCTTTCGACTGCCGAGCCGATCCCGCACGGCCCTTGCCTTCATTGTTCCACCTCCTTTTCTATTGGCTTTGACATCCGTCTCCACCGATTGCCCTGATTCTTTTTGTGAGTCTGACAACGTGCAAAAATCCCTATCACATTGAAGGGAATCAATTGCAATTAGAACACTTGTATAAGAAGGCAATGAAGACCTATGCCATTGTATTTGATCCGGTGAGGAATAAATTAATTTGAAAACCTAGTGCCGTCGTGATCCGGCCAGGAAGAACAAAGGCAAATGCCTGTTGAACACCTCCATATGCGGCGTTGGGATGTTGCTAAAATTTCGAGGAATTTTCTAAAAAAAAATATAATCATATAAATAAATTTGTAAGTAGTAAGTAATAATACTATTTTAAAATATAATAAAAATACAAAAACATAATAAAAATATAAAAAAATGGAGAGGAGATTTTAAATTTGAGGGTAAAAAAATATAATTTTCCTCAAATTATATAAATATTTTTAATTAATTACTTAATTAATTAACGTAATATCCCCTTTTATTTTTTTCATCAATTTGTTCAAAGAGCATTTAAAAAAAAAAAGAAAGAAAGAAAAATGATAAAGCCACATTGAGACGCCACACTTCTGAAATAAAAGAAAGTTTGCACTAAATAACATGCTTTTGTACAATAATCTAACTTCATAAAGCATAACAAAATAATTTTGCTATACTTCCACTTGATGTTGGCTCCAGTGCTTGCAAGCAAAAAAAAAAAATGTAAATTAAATATTTCATAATATGCTAAAAAGATGAAGAAAGTGTATCATTTAATGCTGAAACTAAAATAGTGCAGAGTAAATAATTACTAAATTAACAAACTTCTAATTGAAGCCATAAGTTTATCTTAAACCAAATTAATAGACAACTTCTAATTGAAGTAATAAGTCCTAAATCAAATCACTAGACATCTTCTAATTGAAATAATAACTCAAAACCAAATTAATAGGCAACTGCTAATTGAAATAATAAGCCCTAAATTAAATTAATAGGCAACTTCTAAATATAGTAATAAGTTCTAAATTAAATTAATAGGCAACTTCTAATTGAAGCATTAAGCCCTATCATAAACCAAATCACTAGGCAACTTCTAATTGAAGCAATAAGCCTTAAATCAAATCACCAAACAACTTCTAATTAAAGCAGTAAGCCCTAAATCAAATCTCTAGGCAACTTTTAATTGAAGCAATAAGCCCTAAACCAAATTACTAGCAAACATCTAATTTAAGTAATTAGTCCCATCTTAAACCAAATCACTAGGCAACTTCGAATTGAAGCCATGAGTCCTATCTTAAAGACTTAAACCAAATCACTAGGCAACTCTCAATTGAGATAATAAGCCATAAATCAAATCACTAGGCACCTTCTAATTGAAGCTATAAGCCCTAAAACAAATTAATAAACAACTTCTAATTGAAGCAATAAGCCATAAATCAAATTAATAGGCTACTTCTAATTGAAGCGATAAGCCTTAAATCAAATTAATTGGCTACTTCTAATTGAAGCAATGAGTTCTATCATAAACCAAATCACTAGGCAACTTTTAATTGAAGCAATATGCCCTAAACCAAATCACTATGCAACTTCTAATTGAAGTAATAAGCTCTAAACCAATAAATTTGGTAACTTCTAATTGAAGCAATAAGCCCTATAAACCAAATCACTAGGAAACTTTTAATTAAAGCAATAAGTTTTATCCTAAACCAAATCACTAGGCAATTTCTAATTGAATCGTTGGGCAACTCTTAAAAGGAGTCCTAAGCCTCAAACTAAAAACAATGTAATTGGAAACTCCTACATGGAGCAATAAGCCCCATCCTAACTAACTAAATCTAATGGGTAAACTCCTAAATGGAGCAATAAGCCTAATCCTAACTAAACAAATCTAATAGACAACTCTTAAAAAGGGAGTAATAAGTCCTATCTTAAAACAATCTACCAGGAAACTCCTAAAATGGAGCAATGTCCCATCCTAACTAAATCTATCAAACAACTCTTAGAAGAAGCAATAAGCCTCAACTCAATCCACAACAAACCATAGCTAACAATCAACCATCTTAGTTTGCATGGGATTCTTGAGAAGAGGCAACCCATGGTTGCTAATCAGATTCCCTGGATGTTGCGGTCTATAAGACATTAACATTGGTAGACTGAGAATCATTGATATACCCGGGATGATGGAACTAGGGGATTTTGATCGGGTCTATCTCCATCCCCCATAAGCTTCTCCCTATTAATTAAAATAAATTTTGGATTGTCAAACTTAAATCTAAAGTTATATCAAAGTGACTCAATCCTTAATCAAGAGTATTCTCCCAAGAATGAGAGGAGTAATTAACTATGAGTGCTTGCGCTCATAGGAAGTTGAGACCCCATACTTAAATAAAACCCAATATGAACATTGAGGAAATTTTGGTCATTTAAAAAAAATCAATCTATCTTAGAAAAATGGAATCCTAAGCCTGGAAGGTGAGATTCACTCCAAAATTATTTTTCTTGAGCAAACAAGTGGTCTGTGTCATAAGAGTCAAATTGTCGTCGAATATGTTGAATCACCTCGAAGACAACATTGGAAGTGTCAAACATGTTTAAAGGCAGTAACGAAGTTGTCAGAGGTCATCAAAGATAACATCGAAGTTGTATGGCTTCACCTTTTATTTCTCTCCGTTGAACGAGATCACTCTGTTCTTCCTCTTTGTGTTGAATGGAAAACTATAGAGCCTTATAGATTCCCTACTTATTCCTTAGTCTCCATCAAATAAAATCACCTTCATCGACTCTTCTTTTTCTCTGTGCTGAATTGGAAATACAAGGAGCTATATGGATTCTCTTCTTCTTCCTCCTCCATTTCTATTTATAGAATTTCCCACAAGGACCCTTCTCCTCTCTGTATTTAATAGGAAACACATGAAATCACACGGATTCCCTTCTTACTTTGTCTCTGTCACATAATTGCTGCATGAACTCATTACCGATCCCTCTGTTCAATTGAAGCCACAACACACTTTGTATGCGTGATAAGTCACACACGCTCGTTCACATTCATCACCTCACTCATGCTCATACCTGCTTGATTAGGGAAGACAATCTGTCATTTTTTTGAATAGGCCGGTTCATATCAGCACTGGCCCTTACAGGTGCATCTTGAAGGCTGGTGAAGATTGCTGACGAGTCTACAGTGAGTGCATCAGGTAGGAGAGGCAGCAGCTGGCATGGTTTGGCTAGGTAGCAGGATTTCTACACTTAATGTAATCTAATCAAAAAGTGGTTCGCGTTAGATGAAGTTGTCTCTTTGAACAACTTGGTTCAGGAATTTTCTCTTCCTTTTGAGATCATTAAGCGTGCCAAAATAGCGTATGGCATGAATTAACTTTAGTGAATAATTGTCTGAACATTTCAATGCATTATGTTAAGTTTTGGGAATAATGTATCCGTATTGATGGTGTACGTTCAATTTGGAAAATCAGAAATGAGGATCTTTCAATGTGTGACACTTATTATAGATTTTTGGATTTCAGCTTATACATATTTGCTTGAAAAATATTGTGTTTCTATCTTTATGCATTAAATTTTTCTTCAGTCCTAAAATCAATTTGGTAGTGTCGTAAACAACACTTGTGTCTTTACGATTAAAATTGTATCACATTTTCTTTGAGCAGCTGTTCTATCAGGGGCATGGATTCCGATATTATCACAGGTGATAACCTTGCTTGTCAATACTAATTTTTATGTGGAAAGAAGACCTATCCAGGATGCATAATGATCCAAACCTTGCAGACCTTCCTAGTCTGGCAACTTCTCTTGTCATTCTTATTTCTAGGAAGAAGATATAGTGCCAATCAAGTACTTGGATGCGTTCTTGTTTCTCTGGGTGTAATAATAACTGTAGCTAGGTATGCCATCCTACTCCCGTACCTTTTAAAATAAGACTTCTGCTGCACTTCATATCATTGTTTATAGCTCTGTTTTCTTTTATTAAGTTTTTCAATTCTTGGTTTGACCGTTCCTCTATACGTTGACATGTCATTGTTCAGTATTCTCTGTTATTTGTGTTTGTCAAAATGTTTTCTTAACTTATTGCATTGTTTGGTAAAACAGGTAAGACAAGGATGTTTATCATATTTACCTCTCTCTATATATAACGAATGAAAAGTGATGTAGAACGGGTGAAGGCTTTGTTAGGGAGAGGATCTCCTCTCCAAAATCTGAAGGAAATTTTGATCTCTTTGCCCAGAACCTGAGAAGACTCTCAGATTTTCTCTTGAGAAAGACGAGAATTGCTGGACAGCAATTTGCTGTGGTAGAAAAAACAGCAACTAATAGGTTTCTTATTGCTGGAGACGTGAGAGCAGGGGTGGGAAAACCTGGGCTGCAGTATTAGAAGGTAGAAAGTTCCATGTGGGAGGAGTAGGAGGTGGAGACCAGAGAAATTCAAATGTCATCCTGCTCTTGAAGAGGAAACACACTCTAATCCCCGTTAATGAAATCTGGAAATAACTTCAGCTAGTTTTGTTTTCCAAAAGCTGCTTGGAAAATTCGGATACCTAGGCTTAGGAATTAATGACTTGGGGGGGAACTTTAATGCTCCAAATCAATTCCTGTAATAGCATAGGAAGGAAGATATGGAAATTCTGTTACGTGGAGATAATCCAGAGAGAATTCGGCTTGATTTGGGAAGAGAATAAGTGGGGAGAGGAGTAACCCAAGGGAGGCCTTGAATGCTTCGGCTAACACCAGGTTAGCCCATTAATTTCTTTCCCCAAATCTGCATTATCCTGTGAACAGATTTTGAGGAAATCCACTAAGGGGGAAACGGTGAGCTGAGAGGAAATTAGGAAATATAACTTAAAGTTATTCTCAGAGATTTGGAAATTAATTTAGAGCCAAGAGATGAATGAGTGTTTCGGCTAAGTGGAATTGGGGAGATTTAAAATTATTTCCTAAAGCCAAGAGGGGAGATTAGAAAGTAATTAATAAATCAAGCCAATGGGGGCAAGGTTGGGCCGGCGGCAGCCAAGGGGGGAATAGGAGTTTTAATGCATTTAATTGTGATTACACAATTGGGGGTGTAGTTTAGGAAAGAGATAATTAAACCCTATTTGAATTTGAAATTCAAATAAAATTCATTTAGTAACTTTCCAAAATCGGAATGATAAATTAGGAAAGAATTCAAATTTCAAATTAGTTGAATTTGAATTTTGAAAACTGCCCAAAATTTAATCACCCAAATTAAGTTTGAATTAGATCATGAATGAGATTCAATACTTTCCTAAAATAGCTTTCTAATTTAGGAAACTATTTGAAATTCAAAATTTGAATTTCAAATGATGAAAATAATTTCCTAAATCATTTGAACTCTTTAGGTAAGCTTTAAGATGACATTGACTCCTCATTCATGGATACAAACACGGGTGGCCGGCGGTGGAGGAGCTAATGGGGGAAGGTGGCCGGCGGCCAAGGGGAAAAATTTGTTGGAGCTTGGTATGGAGGTGGAAGAAGATGAAGATAACGACGAAGAGCAATAAGAAGGAACAAAAGCAAATAAACAAAATATCAAAGATACAACCGCGAGCCCGGACACATCCTGCGGCTGACGGGTACTACGCTGCCCTTCTCCAAGGGACTTCACGCCACGAGCCCGGACCCATCCTGCGGCTGGTGAAGACTCTGATTCCTCTCCATAGGAATCCCACTAACGCTCTCTCACAAGAAGAACACAAGTGTGTAAAACTTTTTGTCTTTTTGTTTGCATGCTTGAATGGAAATTTACTTGGATGTAGAAAAGAATAAAAAGAATAGTAATGGGGCCTCCAAGAAATTACAAAACAATGTTAAAGATTTGATATAATCTTTATAAAAGTGGTGTAATCAAAAAATTGGGAAGGGGCCCCAATTTTTGATCACAAAATAAAAACTTTTCTAAGTAAAAGAAAAGACATAAAAAAACACAAAGTAGATGAATAAACTAATAATTATTCATTAGATTAATTCTTTATTTTAAACATTCTCTCTTTCTCTCTTTGATTAATTTTTCTTTAAAAAATTTATAATATAATTTATTCATATCTCAATTAAATTATTTTTATTTATTATCTACAAAATTAAATCCTTATTTATTAATTTTAATCTTATCTTTCCAAGTCGAGTGTCGAACTAGCTTTACCCGAACTCATCCCCACACTTGTCCCTTGCTTTCGCTGTCACTCTCTTGGTTTCCCTTGTCGCCAGTAATGGAAACTTAAGAACTCTCTCTATTTCTTTTCTCTGTCTTCTTTCTCTTAGTCAGCCCCTTCTCGTTCAAAGCCTCTTATATTCGTGCAGTTCAAACAGAGTGAGCGAATCAGGGATATCTCACACGAGGAGTCACTGATTTTCGCATTCAAATGCGTTTACTCGCTCATTCGCACGATCCAGTTTCGCCAGTTATGCTCGTTATCATGATTTTTCCCGCTCAACTCGTCTGCTTTGTTTGTTGTTGTTAGATTAGGGTTGGTTCAGTTGAACCAACAAAATCGGTTCTTACAGCATTGCACGGCACACGCTATTTTAAATATTGCATATAATATAAAATAATTAAAAAAATATATTTAGTAATATTAAATATCATTAAATAGCAAACAATAGGTTGATTAAAGCAAAATTTAAGCATAAATATCTTGTCAAATAGCAAAAATGACATTTGAAAATCCCACAAAAACTTAAATCAATAGATTTGAGCAGGATTTAAGCATAATTTCTCCTCAATTATGCCAAATAGCAAAAATGATAGCTTTAAATCCTACAAAAAGTTAAATTCATTAAATTTTTTAATATTTTATTAATTTGAGGTTTAATTAACTAATAATTAATTATGATATTAATATATAAAACTTAAAATTTTTAATTTTAATTTATTATTTGAAATTTATAACATGTTAACAACTTTGTGCATTAGCATGTTTGAAATTGCAAAAGGTTTTAATAGGATATCTGCTATCAGAAACTTTATTGGAGTGTATAATATTGGAAGGATCCCACTTGATTATTTTTTTTAATAAAATATCTATTAATTTTCCAAAGGTTAGAACTATCATGGTGGACTGGATCTTCAGGAATACTAATTGTAGCTTGGCTGTCACATATCCTAATTATTAGTATTTTAATGTGGATGTTTCGATTTTTCAAAAATTTCTTAGGTCACATTGTTTTACAAATTTCATGAGCCATGGCTTTAAATTCTGTTTTAGCACTGCTTCTATCTACCGCTGCCATATTTTTACTTCTCCAAATGACAACATTTCCTGGTATGTGTGAACAATAGTTAGAAGTGGATTTTCATTCATTTATGGACCTAGATCAGTTAGCATTATTAAAGATTTTAATACTCCTATCTGGTTCCTTTTTGAAAACTAGACCTTTTTAGATGTTCTTTTTAGATACTTAAGTATCCTATATATTGTATCAATGTGTTCCTTAGTAGGAGTATTTATAAATTGGTTAACAATATAGACAGAGTAATAGATGTCAGGATGAGAATGGGAGAGATAAATACAAATTTTCAATCATATTTTGGTATTTTTCTTTATCAATTTGCAGGGTTTACCATTTGATTCTATATTGTTTATATGATCTATAGAGTTTTTATGAGTTTTCATCTCATCACTAGTTTTTTTTTTTAAAGTTCCTTAATATAGATTTCTTGAGAGACAAATATACATTTTTTTTGATAATGTGATTTTCATATCCATAAAATATTTTAGGGCTATTGAATTTTTAATTCTAAATTAATTGGCCAAGATCCTCTTTTTTATCTTGATTTTTTCTCATCTTTTCCACTTAGAATAATATCATCAAGGTAGACAATAATTAGAATCATTTGACCATTGGTGATTCACTTATAATTAAGATGTGATCAACTTGTCCTTGAGATTATTCATATTTATTAATTATAATGACAAATGTTCTGAACTAAGCTCTTGGTGATTGTTTTAGACCATATAAAGCTTTTTCAAGTTTATAGACTTTACCTTTATTATCAGTAGTCTTAAATTCAAGAGAAATAATTATATATATATATATATATATATTAAGATCTCTATTTAGGAAGCCATTTTTTTACATCCACTTGGTGAAGAGGCCAATGAAGATTCACACTCAGAGAGTGGATTACTTGAACAGAGTTAATCTTAACAATTTGTGCAAAAGTTTTTTTTGATAATTATTGGCATAGGTTTGAGTAAACCCTTGGAACAACCAATCTAGCTTTGTACCTTTCAGTGCTCTCATCAGCCTTATATTTTGTAATGAAGATTTATTTGCATCCAACAGGCTTCTTTCAATAAGATCAAGAGTGTCCATTTGCCTTTTTTTGTTGCTTTCATTTCTTTATGGACAATATTTCTCCATTGTGATATTTTTAATGCATCTTGAATGTTGTTGTGGGTGTGGAAAGATTAGTTATTAAAGTATGAAACTAAAAAGATAAGTTGTTGCAAGAGATTAATTCACTGATCAGATAATTTGTATAAAATTTTGTCATCTTTATTCTTCTTTGTAAGAAATCGAGATATTAAAGTCAGAATTAGTATTACCTTTTGTAGGATGATTAGAGCTTGGTTTAGACAGTTTTATTATGAATTTTTTTTTGGTTCTTCAATATTTTAAAATTTTTATGACGTTTAGTATAAACTATGCCTTTATATTTGGTTGGCTGTATATGATATAGAGAATTGTTAGTGTGGTCTGGTTTCTCCGCATTATGTAGGTCAGGGAGACTTGGAGAATAAAGGTTAGTGAGATGGATAGAAAACTTGAAGAGTGTTCGAATTTTCCCTGTGAATGTGAGTTTTAGGGAAGGTCTTGTCTTCAAAATGTTACATTTATAGAAATGTAGAAGCTGTTATTTTTAGTATTGTAACATTTGTACCCTTTTTGGTTAGGTAAATAATCAATGATAACACACTTAATAACTTTTGGATCAAGTTTGTTTTATTTATAAGGTGGGATATAGGCAAAATCAGTGCACTAAAAAACATTGAGTGGAATGGTGGAGATGCATCTATTTATGAGATTTGTTTTGATACAAGCTTGGTAAGGGTTTTAAATTTAAGAATCTTTGAGGGCATTCGATTAATAAGATACACAATTGCTATGATAGCCTCTCCCCATACTAGTTTGGAACATTGTTAGTAATCATGGTGGATTTAACAATTTTAATAAGATGCCTACATTTTTCTTAAGCAATCCCATTCTATTGAGAAGTATACATGCAAGAGCTTTGGTTTACAATCCTTGTTGAAGAAGACAGTCCCCAAGAGTTGAATAGAAATATTCTTCCCATTATCAGTCCTGAGGACTCAGCTTTTGGTTTTGAAGTGAGTTTGTCTATAGAGATAGAATTTTTTAATAATGTGACAAGTTTAAAATTTGACTTTCATTAAAAAGTTCCATGTTGCTTTAGTGCACGCATCTATAAATGATATAACCCATCTAGGCCCAATGATATTGTTTACATGGAAGGGTTCTCAAGTGTCACTATGAATGACAGGGAAAGGTTGAGAGGTTTTGTAGGGTTGGATAGGTTTGGTTTTCCTTTTGTTTTGTTTGCAAGTTTTATGCTAAAATAATTTTTTTTTTTTATTGAAAGAAGATAGGATTAGAGAGAGTCGCCTTAGATGGTTTGGTCACATAAAAAGGCGGCCTTCCGACGACCCAGTTAAGAGAGTAGAGGTATTAGATTTGACTTGTGTTAAGAAAGGTAGGGGTAGACCTAAAAAGACTTGGTTAGAAAATATTAGGAATGACCTTTCTTTATTAGATTTAAACGAGAATTTGGCTTTTAATAGGACACAATGGAGAAAAAGGATTCATGTAGCCGACCCCACGTAGTGGGATAAAGGCTTGATGTTGTTGTTGTTGTTGTTGTATTGAAAGAAGATAGGATTAAGTTTTTGAGCTACAAAAAAATTGAATGATAGGTGGAGAAACCACAACATAATTACACTATTTTCAGGACAAGATACATATTGAATATAGTTTATTTGTAAAATAGAATTTTCTTTGGCAGCTTGGAGGTAGTGTTCGACATTCTCCTTAGTATTGTCAATCATTCCCCAAGATTGTATATCAGGATTCAAATTAGAATAGATAAATTTTTTTTACACAATTTATATCCTTACTAAGTTTGCTGATATATAAGACATTGTAGGAATGTTTAGGAACTAATGAAACCCAGTTTAGTGATATGTAATTTGAGATGTTGACTCTTCCAATGCTTTTAACTGAAGAGGAAAAATCATTGGTAATCCTTAGAACAAAGATATATTTTGTGAAATAGGGATATATACCGGGCCATACGTTTTGATTCTTTTAAGCGCACAATCCATTAATGGGTATTGCGAATGTTTGAATTAAAGGCATTTACAATCATACCTTATTGATTGGTTAATCCGATGCTGATGTTAGATGCAGTTGGAACTGGGCTGGTTTTGCATTACCTGAACACCTTTTTCAGCATTTTCATTTGCTCTTGATTGAATGATGGAAGTATGGAGGCACGTTTCTTTAGAGTTTCTATGCTATGTTATAATTCCATGATTTTTATTTAATATTTTACTTTTGAGGAGGAACTGTTTTCACCCTTGAGATAATAATCATTATTTTCTTCACTTATGAACATCATGATTGATTGGGCCGATTGAAGATAGTTTTGCTAATTCAGTTTGTGGATGAGAAGCTTTTATGATTGCTGGTGTGGCTATGAATGATTATTTCATGGCTGATGGCGGGGTCAAAGAGGAAGCCTTTATCGAAGACCATTCCATATTTAACCATAGTTATGATTATAATGAAGAATCTAATTAGGTCAACGATATTTTATTGAAAGTGAGGGGAGAACTCGCAATCAAAATGCTCTTTTGTGTGGCATTTGCGAGAACTTCATGATCGTGATGTGAGTGAGTCTGAGGCTAGCAAAACTCAAGATGAGTTTGATGATTTCACTAAGGTGGGCTCTTGACGAGCTCTAGAATGTTTGATAATTTGTGTATGGACTAGTTTGGTGATTTGGATATGAGAAGTGTTCAACGATCTGGATGCGAGATGAGATCGACATGGTGAAAATTTGTTTGGTGGGCATTGGGCAGCTCTCGGCAAGATGAGATCAACGAGCTGAGATGAGTTAACGATGAGTGTACAATGATTCTTGAGGCACACTCTTATTGGATCTAGGCTTGGCTCGGACGAACCCTTATGATGAGCAAGTAAGGGTATATGGATCACACATTGATACAATGTTGAAATTGTAGACAAGAAATATGAGAGAAGAATTTATTCACTGGATTAAAATTATATAATTGGTGTATATTTATAGGTGTTAAACAGTGCCAATTACTAGTCCTAAAATTGGGGGAAAATAAAATATAATTAATGGGAGACAAATGAGGATGAGAAATGACGGATTGATGAGTTGGACAGACATCTTATGCTTTACGAGGATCTTATGTGGGCCATGGTGATGCTTTTATAGAATTTCAATGGTATTCAAGGAGCACCACTCATGCACAATCTATTATCATATACCCTTTCAAATTTCTCCTAGACGTATTAGCTAATTATCATTTTGTTAAACAAATTCATAACATTATTAATTTTCTTAAACTTTTATTCTCTTCAATATCCCCACGAATTGAATGACCAATGCAGAGGTTTTATAATCCTAAATTATTTTGAAATTGATTGTACCTCTGCATTTTTTCTAATGGATAATTTTAATCAGACATGCTAACATTATTTCTCCAAGAGATAAGTTTTACTCAATTATGTGCCAGGCGGTAAGAGTCATGCATTGGTACTTACAGACATGTCCTTTGTTCTGTCTAAATTGTTTTCTTTTCCTAATTCGAACCATACACTTCATAGGATCATTCCATATTTAAAACTTCCTTCATATCGGTTGCTCAAATCACGTAGTAGCTATTGGACAAGAAGAAACACTTTTAATTAAATCTTTGGTTCGTGCTTTAAAGGAGTCCTCCATCCTCTTTTGAAATGATTTTCTATTTACTTTTTCAGTGGCTCTGGTTCTGGTATTTCATTGCAAAATGTTGGAATCTTTTGGATTCTTCTAATGATTTCTTCATTTTTTCTCCAAGCTGCTGACACAGTTTTGAAGGTATAAAAATCCCTGTTGATTTTGTGGAACTTTTATTTTTTCGCTCTATTATCTACCAACTGCTGATGCATGTAAACATGTTTCCCTGCAGGAAAAAATATTTTTGGATTCGACTAAATGGTTGAAGGTATACATGCTGGCATCACTCAAACTTTGAAGCTCTATACTGCGTTTTGATAACCATGCAATGATGCAAATGTCTTTTAGTTGTGGACAATATGCCATTTTCCAGAAGTTCTGCATTGTCAATTAAAATACTCGCACTACTATTTGCAAATTTTGTGCTCCGGATAAATCAAAATTCCTTTATAATGCAGGGAGGATCAGTTGACCTTTTTGTTGTGAACTCTTTCGGATCTGCTTTTCAAGTAAGAGCTTTTCTAGGATTATTCTTTAATCATGTGGAAAATTCAAGTGCACTCACCAAACATTGTACGTAGGTCTTCAGAGCATAACATTTTTTTTTTGGTTCATATTCAGGCCATGTTCATATGTCTTCTACTTCCTTTTCTGTCAAAGTTGTGGGGAATTCCATTTTCTATGCTACCGACATATATTAAAGATGGGGGAGCCTGCTTTCTCAATATAGGAAAACTGGCAAGTGGTAAGTTTATGGTATTTAAATAGTTGAAAGTAATTTTCCCTTTTTCCTTGATAAAATAACTGAATTTTCAAATGAAAAAAAAAAAAAAAACATTTCGTATCTTTCAGTCCCTTCTTCTCCGAGAGAAAGATCCATACAAATCAGCATTTTGTCCACAATTGCACATCATACCATAAAAGCTTTCTGCCTTTCTTTGATGGTCTATTCCTCGTTTTAAGGTCTTTGTTTTGCTATTGATTGGATTTCTTGCATTTTATATGATGTGCTGTTTCTAACTTCCAATTTTATTTTAGATTGATGCAACGCAATAACATTCTTATACCCACTCGTTGAAGCCTTTTAAACCTCACCTGTTATGCGAAGTAAATTCAGCAATATGGATGCATTTTAATACTTCAATTTGCACGTGTAAGCGCAACCAAATATTAAACTGCATATCTTTGTTTTCTTTGCTTTTGTTTTTTTTATTTCTTCCAACCAAAGAAGGCTCTTATATTTAATTTTTATATGAAACTAAAAATTTAAGTCAACTACAGTAGTTCAAGTCAATCTAATTGGCACTAATCAGGTTAAGGGAAGTAAATAACTTATACCGGTGCCTGCAAACTATTTTCATTGATATTCAATGGCGGTGCCCAAAATATTTAAGAAACGAGCTCAAATGAAAACTTGGTATTCAATGCTCTTGTTGTCTTTCATTAAGATCTTCCAAGCAAATCAATAATCAGAGCAACTTAGTTGCAAGTTTAGGCACTTAACATAGTTTGAAAAAGTTACTCGTTACAATGCATGGGAATAAAAGTGATATTATAGTTTAGGTCCTATATAAAAATTACAATTATTTTATTATTTCCTCATGCATTGCATGGGGCTTTTTATTATAATATAAATGGTGATAATGCATAATTTAGTTTTGTAGGGTAAAGTGATAAATATTTTGATATTTAAAGCATCCAAATAAAAGTATTTTGAAAACATAAATTGAATTAATTAACAATTAATTGATTTAAATATATACTAGAATATTTAATAATCAGTTAAGATAATATTTATATTAAATCAATAATTCAAGTCACAGATTTATTTTGTAAAAATTAGAGTATTTAAAGTTCAATTTAATATTATTTCAGCCTTTTCAGTAATTAGGAGATGAAATTCTTTCCGATTTAATTTATTATTTAGTAAATATGGGGAGAATGGATTAATAAAAACTTGTATAGAATATATATTTGGTAGATTTGATAGATTTGAATTTTCCTTTTCTTTGATGGCTTTAATCTATACATAGAAAATAACATCTTTCTCTGTGTGTGTATAGGTAGAGGTAGATAGGGAGGAAATTATACAATAAGGGATGGTGGGTGCTCTCTCCATTCATTAGACTTGATTATATAGATAATTTCTCTTTTTGCACTTGATATATAACAAGAAAAAGTAGTCATGTGAAGAAAAAGTAGTCAATGTGATGCAAGCAAGGATAGGAATCACTATTATCTTAATAGTTCTAAAGATTAGGAGTTTTATAACAATTTATAAATAAAGATTAGTAATTTTTTATTCTTTTAATCATTTTAAGGTGATCCATTCTTATTTTTGTGGACTTAAAAAGTTCACGCCCGGTTTGTTTTGGGGAATCTTATTTATGGTTAAATTTTTAAAAGATAAATTATATTTTAGATCAGACAATTCGTGTGATAATTGGTTGATTGACCGATTTAATCAAACTAGTCCATTATAATATAAGGTTTGAGCTCAGGAGCGAGCAATCGCGCTATTGAGCGAGCGGGTGAGCCAACCGAGCCTAAACAATGGTTTCTCACACGAACAAATGCGATCCTCCGTATGTATAGATGGAAATTTCTCGCTTTCGAGCTAAGTTGAAGGAAGAAAGTGTCGTTCGGAGAAGGAAGAAGCAGAGAAAAGTTGTGTTTGATGGCAGATTTTGTTCGATTTGAAAGAGTCGAAGGTAAGAAAGGAGAAAGAGAAATTGTGTTTGATTGAGAGGAATATGAATGATTAGAAGAAGAGAAGTTTGTAAATTCAATCTCGACAAAGGAAAAAGAGTAAGTGCTTTTTTTTAGAGAAATAGATTATGATTTTAATTTTCTTTAAAAACAATTAGTTGATTTTTATTCAACAAAGGGGGGGGGGAGGGCTGTGATTTGTGTAATTTTAATACAACACGGAAGAAGAAATTTGAGGTAAGCAATATAAGCTATGTAAACATCATTTCGATCATTTTCATATAATATGATAGGCAATGTAATTAAAAAAATGACTTGATATTTTGAAGGCCTTTGACATTGTTTTTGGCCACATTCTATGAATTTGACGTTGTCTTTGATAATGTCTGATGCATCGATAGTAATTTTAGAGATCGGGCTCGCGGTTCGTATCCTTTTATTTTTATTCCTCCTTCATCTTCCCTACAACCGCCGACCACCTTGCCTTCAACCCCTACTGCCGGCCACCTTACCCTTTCCACCTCAAGCCACCGGCCCCTCCTCCCATACCTCAACCGTATGGCTCCCTAGCCCCACTGTCACCCCCTCCCTCCACCAAACCAAGCCTGACTCCTCCTCTAACCGCAGTGATTTGTGTAATTTTAATACAACAAGGAAGAAGAAATTTGAGGGAAGCAATATAAGCTATGTAAACATCATTTCGATCATTTTCATAGAATATAATAGGTAATGTAATTAAAAAAATGACTTGATATTTTGAAGGCCTTTGACGTTGTTTTTGGCGACATTCTATGAATTTGACGTTGTCTTTAATTACATCTGATGCATCGATAGTAATTTTAGAGATCGGGCTCGCGGTTTGTATTGTTTTATTTTTATTCTTCCTTCATCTTCCCTACAACCGCCGACCACCTTGCCTTCAACCCCTACTGCCGGCCACCTCACCCTTTCCACTTCAAGCCACCGGCCCCTCCTCCCATACCTCAACCGTATGGCTCCCTAGCCCCACTGTCACCCCCTCCCTCCACCAAACCAAGCCTAACTCCTCCTCTAGCCGCTGGCCTACCAATGCCAAGCCCAAAACGCCGACCTACCCATCCATATCCCTCTTGATTCACCTTCAATTACACCATTACTATTTCCCTAATTTAGTCCATATCTTATTTGGAAAGTTTCCTAATTCAAATTCAAATGAATTTTGAATTTTAAATTCTTTCTTAAATAGCCTACATCTATTTTAGGAAGTCCCTTAATCACCTTAAATATGAAATTAATTTAGATTTTATTCTCCAATCAACAATTAATACAAGGGTCCACATACATCGAATGTGGACACCCTTTTCCCCTCTACCTTTTGGCCGGCCCCCTCCCTCTCCTTTTTTTCTCTCCAATTAAATTCCTACCCTCTTAATTAATCCCACTAATCCCCGCACAAGCCGCCGGCCCCCACTCCCTATCTTCCTTGTTTGCCACCGTCCCTTCCCATCTCTCTCCCCTCCACTTTAATTATTTACCAAATAAACCCAATCCCCAATAATTTCTCCACCACTTAGAGAATTTGAATTCAAATTTTCCCTCCTTTCCTCTCAACTTAATTCTAATTTTAATTTCTAATCAAGGGAAATTAATCGAGGAATTAATTCCCTCCTCCCCTCGTATTTGCTCTTACTACTTCATGCACCTCCAAGGAATAAGCTTCGCAAACCGGCCTCTCTCCATGAATGGCTGATCCTGAAAGAGGCCACGACTTCGTGTATGATCTTCAAGGACGAGTAGATATTCTCTGGCCTCCCTTCTTCAACGTCAATTTGGAGATCGATGCCACAGTCGACGACTACGTCGACCGAATCTTTTTCACCTTGACGTCTGCTCCCGAAGTACACCAAACCTCCGGACAGTGGCGAGTTATCGGACATCCACCAACTTCTTCCTCTCCGGCTAACTTTTCATTGGGTAATGTTGTAGGTGTACTCTTTCTTTTGGTGGCATCTCTAGGTTTGTTGAAATTATTTTCATGTTGAACCCACTATCAAGAGTGAAAGTGAGGGGAACTCGAGGTGAACTTTCTATTTGTTAAACGGTGGATTTTGTTATTTTTGCATCTAGTGTTACTGCGATTTTTGTTCTTATTTTAAAATTGTCATGTTAATCTTTCTTTAACCGCATGCCAAAGCACAACTGTAACTAAGAAATCCTAGACTCTTATCTTGATGAAATATTGAGTATAAAATTATCAAAGCGTAACAATTTGTTATTAATTCTTAAGCTATTAATTCTTAAGCAATTCTTATTTCTATATATGTTTCACATCAGAGGGTGTGATCTTGAGTTTCAATATCATATAAGGTGGGGGTGAAAGATGTGTGAGAAAATCTGACTCTATTATTCTTCTAAAAGAACAGTAGTCTCTATCTCTCTCATTCACTTTTTCTCTCTCTTAAAGAACAAATCTCATAGTTCAATTGCTATGTTTGCATGTTTTATGCTTATGATCAAATCATCTACAAAGTTTATGAATTTGGTGTCTTGCTTTGTGTAGATTATGACAAAAAATCTTGATTTCTAATTAAATGTTGCATGTTTGAAAACAGGATAAAATAAATCATGTTTGAAAATTTCGTCGATCTATTTAGAAGGATAGTAATCTATCCCTCTACAAATATATATAAATATATTCTTCTGTTGTGCTGCTTTATGTAGTAAATACATGATGACTTCTAGTTCAATATTTTTCTAACTCATATGCTTTTGTACTTAATATTTTGTTTATTGCTTAGAGTTTTCAACTGTGTGCCGTCTATCTGCTAAAAGATGACAAGCTAAACTCTTTATATGCAAGTTATGATTTACACAAATATCTTATTTACCCTGGATAAACTTATTAGAAGAACTGTCTACTTTAGCCTAGTAAATCTCTTCACTTCTTCTTTTTTCAACAGTTCGAAGTTTTTATTACTTTTGTATGATATCATTGACACTACGATTAAATTTTCTTAAAGAATAACATTTTCAATTTTGATCGATTACAGGATGTGAAGGAGCGCCAATGTTGCCACTTTTATTTGTGGTGGTTAACATGGCCTTTAACATATCAATGCTACATGTCGTTAAGGTCTCTTCAGCTGTGGCGTCTTGCCTTGCCTCGACTTTCTCAGGTGCTTATGTGTCTCTTTTCCTATCTAATAAACTGTATTTCCCTACTATTACTCTCAAACTTAGATGTACTTAAAGAATGATAAATGATAAATAGAGGTGTACATTACATGGGTAATTATTAAGCTTTTGACTAAAAAAATTAGGAAAACAGAAAATTAAATATGAGGTTGTTTGGATAAAACTAATTATTTTAAAGTGAAAACAAGAAATTTTATCATTCTTTGAGAAAAAATGCAAAACAAAGTAAGAACAAAAAAAAAAATGTTATATAAAAAAGGGCTAGAAAAAAATACATTAATGGGACCAAAGGAAAGCCTTAGGCTTGAAATATTTTGGAGAGTTATGGTAAAATATCTTTTTATTCTTTCCTCTCCTAGTAAATAGAATTTAAAACTTTTCATCTACAAGTTCTTTTTTGCTTGAAATGCACGTAAATCGAGACAATTTTGGAGCAATTGGCCTATTTATGTCATATTAGGTTTTAATAATAATAATAATAAGGATAACTTATTATCATTATTATTAATTCGATTAATAAAAAAAATCAAAAATCAAATCAAAATTAGGGCGAATAAATGTTACCTCGTATCATCAAAATCCGATGAAATCGTTGGAAATCCAACTAAAAACTTCAAAAAATCCAATCAAAATCCCCACAAGAGCTGCTTCTCATCGCTTCGCTTAAATCATTTGATGTCGCTATGTTTCGTTCTCAGGTTTGTCTATTAAAGCAGCAACGAGCAGAGGAGTTCGATTAGATAACACATACAAGCTTCCACTTTCGGTTCTCCTCACACTTGCGGTCGAATCACACTGATTCTTCCTTCAACCATTCGTCACTCAACCTCCTTCACGCGACAACCAGTTGTTCGAGCCATTTGAGCGTCTTTGACATTCGATCCAACGTTAGGTTGGAGACCTCCATGCCTTTATGTGCAAATCAGTCGGATTTGAATTCCGCTAACTTCCCAATCCCATACTTAGCTGCAATTAGGTATTCCACGACCTGTAGCCCTCACCATATGATCCGACGCCCAAGTTGAACCACAAAGCTTCAATTTCACCGCCTTCGTCAGATCGACTCCCTAACTCAATTGTCGATCCACCTCACAGCCACAAGAATTGATCGTATGTAAAACTGTGACATGTGAAGGCTTGCCCGATCTAGATATCCTTTCCAGACCTAGTATCCATAGTCGACCGCCGAGATCCTATTTTATCTCCCCAGCTTACCTCTTTACCCTCCAAGAGCTGCAACCTAGCCATCCCCTCCCTTCATTCACACCTTTATCTTAAATATTTTATGAATTATTTTAAAGATGATTTCTTATATTTGAAATTTTTACTCATTTAAAATATAAAAACTAAAATTTTTATCCACAACAGAATCAATCGCCGCACTTAATACTCAATTTATTGAATATTCTCTTTTTCATTTCTCTTTGGTGGGTTACAATTTTGATTTCACAACAATGCCCGATGTCATCTCAACATCGACGTTTGACGTCGTTACAACATCAACATTTCAAAACAATCTCCATATCAAAGTGTGACATTGTCTTTACATTGATGCTCGATGCTAGCAATTTCTACACCCACAACTTGACATCTCATCTTTGTCCAACGCCTTCTCAACTTTGACGACCAACGTCCTCTCAACATCGACGATAAACGCCTTCTTAGCATTGACTCACAATATTTACTGCATAACATCAATGCCCAAATCTCGAAAACATTGTTATCTCCTCGCTCGATGATTGATAAATGGCATTGACGCACGACTCTTGACATCATAATAGCACAAATTTGAGTTAAATGACTTATTATTTCTAAATTATTTTTAAAATTATATTTATTCAATTTCAATATACTATTTTTAAAATATAAAAACTATAATGTCGTGTCCAACCCGTTTCCATGTCCTATATTTTCAATAATTAACGTGTCCCATGTCCGTGTCGTGTCATGTCCGTGTCGTCGTGTCCGTGTTTGTGCATCATAGGTTAGTGGTAATAGGTCTGTAATAGCTTGTTAGTTGTTTTGTCCTTCAGTTATAGCAATGAAATAATGGGGAATTGTGAGTGGATTACAGCTTTTGATATACATCTTGACAGAAATCAAAATATAAGCTCTGTTTTTTTTCTCTCTTGCTTGGCTATGCCATATCCTGCCCAACTATAGAAAAAGGCGAATCTTACCGTTCAAATATTGTAATCCCGCCCAACAATAGAACGAGGTGAATCTTTATAATTTTCAGCTTACATAGTAAAGCTGTTTCAATTGGGCTAGGTCCTATGCTTTTCCCTCTCCAGATTTTTCATATAAAAAATCTCTCTTAAATGTTGTAAGTTATATATTTGTGTGTGCGCAAGGTTTTCATGCAATAATTTTTTTATTTATACATGTTAGAGTTCAACTTTTTAGCTCTTACAAATTAAATTCTACAAGATTTGATATAGTTGTTGCGATTTGAACTGCATCCATAAGTAGCTGATGTCGTTGTGCATCAAATCGATCATTTTTTAGGATTATCCTGACAGCTAGAATACAAATTACAACTAAAAAACACATCTGCAACTTCACCACTTGCATCTGCAGGGAGGCTAGACGCAATGAACTAAAGCACACTTAACAACTGGAGATTCATATATTAATGAAAGTTGATGCACAAAGCCATATAAAACTGTCATGTCCAGTTGTTGAGCATATGTGCTTCCACAGGAATTGGTTTATAGGTTCAATGATGCACATCATTATTCTTCGTAGATTTTTTTTTAATGATGTTTCCTCTTTTTGCCTTTTTCTCCCGCTATGGGCTCCACTACTTGGGAAAGCTTCTCCTGAGATCGAGGGAAAGATCTTTCATATTATTTTACTATATTAAAAACTACTTAAAAACATAAAACTTCAAGAGTTACAAATGAAATAGATACCTCAGTATTGAGATCTGTCATTCTTGTACTGGAAGGTAGATTTTAAATCTTATTTGATTAGCCTATTATGACTTACAGGTTAGATCTTACTGGTCCTAATGGATTGCCAACGTCAATTATGTCTAATCTATTTACTTTCTCTCCATTAGAATAGTATAATCCATTATGGACTATCATGGAATGGGTAATCGATACATGGGAATAAAAGTTTAAGTGCATCTCCAATCGAACTCCAAACACATAAATGACGTTACTCGCGAGCTCGAGCCGAACGACAAAACTTCTAGTATTTGGTTGCGCGTGAACAGTGTGACGCCAATATCGGCATTGCACTGTTCACCTGTGTTATTTTTCTGTCTCTACTGGATTTGCCGAAGAAACGCGCCAAAGAGGAGAAAACGGTTATCTTCTGTGAAGGGCGCAAAATGTAGTTCGATTGGAGATGAATCACGTCATTTTTTAGTTTCACTGTATTATGGAGTGAAAAATGAGATTTTCGGTTGGAGATGCCCTAAGAAGGCACTTATGGTTGGCATAATTCGTATAAAGGAATGAATGGCAGCCTTTTTATGATTTCAGATCTGATCAATGTTAGATAAAAGATAAACTGGATAGAAATCATAGAACTAATATTCATTTGTGGATACAGCTCAGCATAGAAGGGCGTGTCAGTAAAATTATTAAAGAAAAGGATCCTCCAAATGGCATTCCAATTATAATAGTCCTTAGCATAGTACTTCAGAAAACATTCTATTTATGCCCCTTTGTATATAACACCTAACTATATATGGAACTCAAACCACTTAGAATTATGTAGAGAAGATACATCCAATGTATAGGAGAATTCTGAGCTAAGTTCAACCGAAATTATGGAGGAACTGTTTGAATAAATCTAATAGAAAGATTAATTAAACTAATCAATAAACTATGACCGTTCTCCGAGTGAAAAGGACCTAATTGCTCTTAATTACAATATCGGTGCTGGACTTTTCTTTGGTAGTTCGCTGGTCTAAACCAGCACGTCATTGCTTCCTTTTAGCTTTTCTCCTTATTTTCTCTGAGTGGTATTCAAAACCCGTGGCTTTTTCCAATGGATTTCTTTGCAATATTTTTCCTCAATATAATTATGTTAACCAACGTGTCCAATTAAACTTCTATCCAGTCGTAATTAATCCAAAACAATATATATTGGAATTAAAAGAGAGAAAGAGAGAGAGAGAGAGAGCTAATTAAAGACTTCTTCAATGTATATTGTTTTATGCTTATTCATAATAATAAATGTAACATTGGTCTCAGATCATAAACATAGTCACTAGTAAAATAAGGGGAAAATGTCGGCAAGAGAAGTTCACAAAAGCTTTTGTGTATGTATTGCATATATTTGACATCAAAATTGAACAATTTTCTCCTTGTGATGGTACTAACAAAACTTTGAATTTGTCTTTACAGTGCCTCTCTCCATCTACGCCTTCACACTTCCTCTCCCCTTCATAGGGGCTCCGTCACCGTTGCCGGCAGGATTCATGTTGGGCGCAGCTGTTCTTGTCGCCGGACTTCTCATCTACACATGGACTCCATCGCCGGCAAGGCCAACAACCAAGCTCTCACCGGAAACCAGGCTACGCTAAGGCCATGGAAAACAGTGTATCGAACTCTCTATCATTCTCATTCTTTGTTCCCCTTATTGCATGCTCATCCATCCAAAACCTCATTAGCCGTGAATTGGGCAGAACCAAAGTTCTCCCAAATGCATTCCTCATTCAATAAAAGGGAGGAAAGCTAGGCTTATAATAACTGAGAGACGAATTGAAATTGACATCTTCGTTAACATCAAAGTTCAATCAATCATTTTCATAATACAAACAGATTAGAGATTTGAGGGTGGAGGGATATTCTCACTCATTTGGGAAGTGGGAGGTTAGAGAGATGTCTGTCATGGTTGTGTCGTAAGGTAGCAAACAAAGGATGAGTAGGAGAAGCATGATAGCTAGAGGGATGAAGAGGATGAGCAGTGGCGGCGGCGGCGGCAATGGTGGCAGCAAGAGCGGCAAAAACAGAAGCGCCGCCGTTAGCGCCACCAGCACCACCACTTCCCATACCGCAAAGTATCTTCTCATCAGTCTTTTTTTTTTGTCTTAGTCACAGCTCTGCTACCAAATTAGCAAAATATATATGCCAACGATAGGTCTCTTTCCCCCTCTTTCTATATAGCCGCATAGATTTAGGCATTCAATGAGATTGTACGGCACGTCCCTATAGGAATTTCCAAAAAATAAAAAATAAATGTTTTCCGGACTTTGGAGTAAGAAATTGAGAAATTGTACCTTAAAAGGGAATCTTTGGACAGGATGGTGAGGACGGGGGAGGACTAAGGAGAGGATTGTTTGCTTTGGAAAAGCTAAACAATGGAAAGAGACCTGTTCGAAGTAGTTGAACGTCTCCTTGCTGGTACAATGTATTTGGGCTTTAAATGAAGCTTGTCGCACTTGCTTTCTTGGCAATTGGGAGTAAAGAAATCCAGCTCGGCCCACTTGTCAAATATATTTGTTATTTTAGGGGTGGAAATAATGAGCGGAGAAAGAATATGATGGGTGGTATAAAGGGCTGTCAAAATCGGGTCACGGGTCGGGTTCTAGTTCAATCCGAAATTGACCCGACATTGTTCAACCCGATCCGAACCCGACCCATTTTTGCAAATGGGTCGGTTTTTCAAACCCAAACCCGACCCGCTTCGGGTTCGGGTCAACCCGAACTCAACTTGATTCGGGTATATTTTATTAATTTTTTTATTTAATTCAATTTATTTAAATCTAAATCAAATTAAGGTAATATTTACTTCAATTAATTTAAACTAAATCAAGATTAATTTAATTTGGGCAATAATGTTTATAATTTTTTGAAATTTCATTTACTTATGCCATAAAAATCTATTAAAACCCTCCTAAATTAATTAAAATGGGTTAAACCGGGTTGATTTCGGGTCAACCCGGACCCGACCTGGTTTTACAAACAGGTCGAAATCCCTAAATCGAAAATGAAATTTTCGGGTCGGGTCAAATATTGTCACCCCTAGTGGTATTCCGAGATATGTTTTTAATTAGTTTATCTTAGCTTGGAATTTCTATAAAAAAGGAAGATATTTATAGTTATTTTATGCATAAAATGTTATATTTTAACAATATTTGTTGTCATAGAAAATTTTTATTTTGATTTAAAGTACCAGAAAAAATTAAAGATTTGTAATAATTTGGAAGATGTAGTTATAAATTATGATAAATTTTGAAGATAATTGTTTTTTTAAATGGAAGACTAATTTCAATGCATTGTAATTTAGAAGAGAGCATGTTAGAAAATATTTTTGGAGATTCTGATTTTTTTTCCTTAATGTGCTGTGTATTATCCCATGCAAAAAAAAAAAAATGTGTATTATCCCATGCAAAAAAAAAAAATAAAATAATAAAATAAAAGGTTCGAATGGCCTTATTATTTTATTCTATTTGTGCAGTTTTGTGGGAAGGTTAGACTGGCTAAAAATATAAGGGGCTACAAGTTATTATAAATTTTTAATATATATATATATATAGTTGTCAAAAGGAAATTACTTGAATCAAGCATTAATCGTGACGTAATATATGAAGCAAAATATTTTGAAATTAAATTTATGATCAATTGAAATCTAACGTTAGTAAATTAGTGCTGAAATTGAGTGTATCTATGAAGATGCTCTCTTTATTCACTTGAAGGGGATGTTGACCTTAAATTATAGTGTGCTTATAGCTTTTTAAAGAACTCTAGAATTCTATTCGAAGATTGACATTGATGATCACACTTAGCTACCACTATTGTTTGTCTGTCGTCATTCGATTGTTGTAGCTTATCTGCTATTTTGTCCAACCATTATTGTCTCATTGTCATCGCACTGCTGTCATCGCCTCATTATCATTATCTGATTGCCTTTGTCCAATTGTTGTTGCCTGACCGCCCTTGCTCGACTATTATTATACAATCACATCCAAACAATCCAACCACCACAACATGATTGTAATAATCATATTCACTCTTCAGTATTTTCTATATCACTTGCAATATTCTTTATATTTTTGATTTTTTGATTTAAAAATCTTATTTGTCATCGCATTACTATCATCGCCTCATTATCATTATATGATTGCCTTTGTCCAATTGTTGTTGCCTAACCGACCTTGCTTTTTTTTTTTAACAAAATAAACTGACATTAAAGATAAAAGGTTACACCACAAGACTTCGACCAGGCCACATCATTAGAGATACAATCAACGAAAAAATCAAATTAAAAAAGGATCCACACGGTCTCAAATTGACTCCCAGTTGCAAGGGAGGACCATCCAATAAAGATCCAAAAAAGCAAGGTCACCACGGTTGCCCAACCCTAGCCATCATAGGTGCATGCAGACTAACTACTTCCTCATTGTCCAGATCCAAACCAACGAAGGTAGTCGAAATCGTAAGAAAACCCAACAATAAGGCATAGTAAATCATTTTTTTTTCGACTTCCGTTTACGATTTCTTATAACAGTATCCAACGAACCAGTTTCCAAACTATCATCAAAGTTTTCCTCCCCTTCAGGTAGTTAATCATCGTGTAACCAATCACATTGCAACTGGACACTATTCCTAGCTAGGTGGGCTTGTAAGTTAGCATTAGAAATGACAGAAATAGGTACGCAAACCAGTGAAGCAACACCATCCCCAGGACAATGAACCACCTCAACCCCACCTGAATTAACATAACCACCATCAGTTGAAGAAACTGAGATAGCCTCCAAGGACTCCACACCACCATTAGACAAAGGAGAAGCAACATAATTCACTCCGCAAAGAGGAACTATTAAACTCGCACTGCCAGGCTTCACAGACAGAGGGTCCCCTCCCACCACAACACCACAGGCCTGAGAACCATTCGAGCAGTTCACGACAATAGAAACAGGGGCAGCAGGGAAAAGACTGGACAAATCGGACTGGAAACTGCGGGAACAACAGCATTAACCAAAGCCAAATCTCCCATCAAATTAATAGACAAAGACACAAGCAAAATCGAATCAGAAAAAAAGACTTCCTCCTCTTCAATAATAGGGTGAAGGAGTAGTGGAGGGAGGGCTTGTAGCACCCTCAGCATTAGAATTCATGCTCGCATTATCTAAAATAATACCAATGGCTTCCTTACACTCACTAGAACCAGCACAGACAACATTTTCCTTAACCGAAACAGCAGAATCCTCTGTCAAAGCCTTAGTAACAACCTCACAGCCAACAGTCCCTAAAACCGGATTAACCATTGGATTTAGATCCTCCCTAACCATTGCCTCATTAATAGCCAAAGAGGATACACCCAAAACATGACTGTTAACATTCCCAGCCATAAGGGTATTAGAATTAGACAGAGGAGCCGGAGCACAGTGACCTCTAAGATGGCCCAGATGCTTACAAGACACACAGAAATCAGGAAAAACCTCAAATTGCACCTTTTAAATATACCTAGAAACCTCTGGCCCGAGCCAAATTTGAGAAGGATATGTTTTGGTAATGACTAGTTCCACCAACACACGCACTAGGGATGGCTGAAATCCTATCGAAGTGGCAGAATCAACCTTCAAGGGTCTACCGAACATAGAACCTAAGGCGTGTAGGATACGGGGAGAGTAAAGATGAGGTCACATATTAGGAAAGGAAATCCAAATCGGTATGACCGGAGATTCACAACCGATGTCGAGGAGCAAAGACCATTTAGTGAGCTTCATGAAACAATTATTCACTAGATAAGAACGATGATAGAAAACACGTCTATAATATAGGTCTTTGGAAAGTTTAACCAACACATGTGTCTGATCAAGTACTGTAACAGAGAACTCATAACTAAGTTTCATCGAGAAAAAAAAATTGCGAATAGCGCCAAGAGATGGATGACACGTGGGGAAAAAAACTAACCAAAGCGAATTGAAAAGGCACAACAAGAGCTTTAATTTCATCCTTAGAAATCCACAACGATGGTAAACCACGAAAAGAGCCTTGACGGAGCTCAGGGAAACATTTCGACGAGGAAGAACCAGAAAGGGCTTCAACAAACGACCGAGATTTAAATGAACCATTCAAAAAGCCCGGATCAGCAACCTGTCAGATCGCCATTTGGGCCACAAAGGGCCGGAGGAGGAAAGACGGGGTTGACGAGCCGGAAAAAAAGAACGGAGAAAGACGAACAACAAGAGGATAAGGAAAGGCAACTTGAAGATTCCAGACGAATGCTGACTGAAAATGGAGGCAGAGAGCGTAAAAAACGCACCAAAAGAGCAGTTAGGACAAAATCCTAGCAGAGCGAAGGAGCCAACTCATGTTCTTCAATAAACTTTTCTACCTGACTATTATTATAAAATCATTATCCAAACAATCCAACCACCACAACATGATTGTAATAATCATATTCACTCTTCAGTATTTTCTATATCACTTGCAATATTCTTTTTATTTTTTATTTACAAATTTTATTGTCAGTTGCCATATTTTTTTATGTGTACTAAACTTTCGTTCATAATTAAGACATTAAACAGACTTTCTCTATCTATTGCCATGAATATTTTAGCATGAAATAATAATATTCATTAATTTATATTTCTCAACTGTAAAAATATTTAATTAATTAACATGTCTTCATTAAGAAAATATTTTAGCACCATCAGTAATAATATACTAATATGCATGTTAAAATAACAGTCCATTAGAGTCATCTTTGTATCTCAATTGGGATAAACTATTATATGATGGCAGCCACGTCTTGAAATTTAGAAGATATTATTTGGCGAATAGTAAGGATTTCAATCTCTTAA